ATTTAACCAACTCAATCAACTACACAATATTATCATTATAATTTAACCAACTCAATCAACTACACAATATTATCATTATAATTTAACCAACTCAATCAACTACACAATATTATCATTATAATTTAACCAACTCAATCAACTACACAATATTATCATTATAATTTAACCAACTCAATCAACTACACAATATTATCATTATAATTTAACCAACTCAATCAACTACACAATATTATCATTATAATTTAACCAACTCAATCAACTACACAATATTATCATTATAATTTAACCAACTCAATCAACTACACAATATTATCATTATAATTTAACCAACTCAATCAACTACACAATATTATCATTATAATTTAACCAACTCAATCAACTACACAATATTATCATTATAATTTAACCAACTCAATCAACTACACAATATTATCATTATAATTTAACCAACTCAATCAACTACACAATATTATCATTATAATTTAACCAACTCAATCAACTACACAATATTATCATTATAATTTAACCAACTCAATCAACTACACAATATTATCATTATAATTTAACCAACTCAATCAACTACACAATATTATCATTATAATTTAACCAACTCAATCAACTACACAATATTATCATTATAATTTAACCAACTCAATCAACTACACAATATTATCATTATAATTTAACCAACTCAATCAACTACACAATATTATCATTATAATTTAACCAACTCAATCAACTACACAATATTATCATTATAATTTAACCAACTCAATCAACTACACAATATTATCATTATAATTTAACCAACTCAATCAACTACACAATATTATCAGAGGCACTCAAACATTCAATTTAATTTTGAATTTGACACATCTTTGTGACAGTTTTTTTTCTTTTCAATTTAACTTATAACTATCAATCAATCTATAGGTGTGGGGAGCTATGTGGCGGTTTCCCATCCCCCTCTTTTTCTTCCAAAAAAAAAAAAAAAGGGGCATAAACCTTACCTGCATTAATAAACTGCAAAAGGATATTAGAGATTAAGCAAACGATTTTTGTTCTATTCTTCTAAATTCACAGTTGCTGTGATGGATAGACCAAATGCTACCACTCATGGCTCAAAGCTGCCCTTTGATGAGATGCTTACAGCTCATGTTGCCTTTATTTTAACGTTCTTTCATTTTTACCCCCCAATAAATTGTTATGCGTGGAACAGAGATCGTCATCACTACATTATGTTTACTTTCTTTATGTTCAAGATACTGGTATATCAATTAAAAATATATTTTTGGATACTGGTACTTTGTGGCGTGATTAATATATAAATATAATGAATGTATAAATAATCTATTTCCTGGTCCTTTCCAGACTATGCAATAACTTCAGCCCAGACATCTGTCCACGGGGACATCGCAGGTGTCCTCGTACCTTTCCCCATACCTGATTCTGATGCCTGTCACTTCATGACGTGTCCCATCAGTCAGGGCAGTTCTGCCGTTTACAAGAATGCAATCTTCGTTCAACAGGCTTACCCCAAGGTTTGTAATCTATTTAATCACTAGTTTAATTAGTAACGAGGTAGCATCGTTATCTGTGGTTCTACCCCTGCATTTGAAGTTAACCTGCTCCTAAATGTATGAGGAATGCTTTGCCACTACACATACGCAATATACCAACCACCCAGGCCTTCAAAACTGCACTCAAAACATATCTTTTAATAATACTACCCTGACTGATTCCCCTCCTCTGACCGATAAACGATCTTGCTGGCTGCCGTCCATGGTTTGCCTTGTAAAAGTTATGTGGTGGGGCTGGTGAATATACATTGATGTACTTTTTTCATAATTGTATTTTATTTTAATGTCATGATTATGTCTCTTTTGGTAAAATTTTTATGTACAGCGCGGTGAGCCCAGCCCTAGGCTGGGGTACCGCGCTATATAAGACGTCTTATTATTATTATCAGGAATGTGACCAGTCCAATTCCTCTCTTCCCAGATAACTTTGATTGTCAAGTGGGAACTATTGTCTGGTTCTGATGACATCACCTGCTTTACAGTTCCTGTCACAATCACAGACTGAGGTAGTCTGGATTGAAGTATCAGTAAACATGACCTTGATCTAGAAAAAAACCTGCATAGGTTGGGAGTTAGTATGGCTTCCTGCTGTTGATCTAAAATTGCTTTCTAATGACATGATCTGATTTTGATGAGGAAATAGAAGAAGCAGAGGTTTTCAACTAGGGACAAATAAATGATTGTTACATCATAGGAAACTTGCTATTGTTAATTCAATAATTGTTGTGTACATAAATTACTGACATTAAATTTTTTGTTGCTTCATTTAAATTTTTACAAGACGTTTTGTTGTTGTGTCCCAATCATAAACATGGAGTGATATTTGTATAAAGTATAATTTTAAGAAAGAATTTTGACTGCAACTTACTTTGTTACTGATTTATTCAAAACTAACTTTCAAATATGTTATTCTTTTAACATCCTTATTAAATTAATTGACAAAAATTTCATGAAAAAAAACAAGTATCTTATTTATTACAAATAAAGTCATTTCACATAGAGACCAAATTTGAAGTTGCTGTGTTGTTTTATTTAATATGGGGGAGAGACTGCAATCAGGTTAGATTAAATGAGCCAAACAAAGTATGAGAAAGCCATCCCTGTAGCTGTAGGGCTTTGGTCTGCCCAACCAATTCCTTCCACTCGGACCATCCATCAATCCATGAGGTGGTTCAGCCCATGTAGGGCTTTGGTCTGCCCCACCACTTCATTCCACTCAGACCTAACGGATGGGAAAACATGAAAAAAGAAAAGACATAACACAACAACTAACTTGTCTGCAAGAAGCCTTCTTCAGCGAACAAATAACAGTAAAAAAATATAAAATTAAACACTTAGCTGCAATACAGAAACTGGAGAGGATAGCAAGAGAAATGTGATTGAAAAATAAGTACAGACAAAAGGGAAGAGAAGAGAGGAAAAGTAAGTCAACTACGATTGGTTGTAACAAGGAGGGGGCGGAGAAAAGGTTTAACAAGTGAATGAAAACTTGACATTTATGACATAATTATTATTTAATTAGCGAGATACTGAAGTGTACCGAGGGGAAATCAACATCTCAAAGAAAACTATCATTGTATACTGAAATTACAACACAGTGGTCTTGATATTACAACACAGTAGTGTTGACTATACAACAAAGTAATGTATGTAATCATTTTAACCTTTATTTTAATTAAAGTTAAAGAACAAAAGAATGACCCAGAAAGAGAACTACATGCAATTAAAAATATCACTTGTGCAAACTGACACAAAATACATGTTAATAAATTAACTATAGAATCTCAACATCCAGCTGATTGGACATGTCTGTCAGTTTGATTAATTCCCCTTTGAGTAAGCTGAAATTTTATATGCATCAATAGCAACATGTCATTATTATCATTTTCTAAAACTTAAAAAGGAGCACACAAATTAAGATAGACTATTTTGTACAAACTGTACAATATTACCATTAAATAAATTGTATATTCCTCTATAGCTTTTTCTAAATTTTACACTTCTTTTTAAAACTTGCATATGGCAGCAGTGTTAAATTTCTTTATCAAATTTTACTAGATGTGTCTGTTGGTTATTAAGATAAAGCCAGCACATTATAACACTTTAAATTGTTTAGTTAACTTCTACAGCATAAATATTAAGTGTTAATCACATTTAGAAAATTTGGCAAGTTTGGAATTTGTTGATTGCGAGAGTGGTTTTAATTCTGTTTTTAATTTCTTTCTATCCTCTGTTTTGTCTTGTTCTTCTTCTGGTGATAGCTTTCTCTTTTTGGAACCATCTGAGTCACCAGAGGCTGACTTTGCTTTCTGTACCCAGGCCTGAAAGATAATAATTAAGTTTACAAACACTGACTTAATGAAGGACAAAGTAATTATCGAATGGGCAGAATTTAAAAATTGTCAACATGCTCTGGACATGTGAATTTAAATTACAGAAACACTTATGCAATGAGAAGGTTCTATTCTGACTTTGTTACCTCTCGTTCCTCTTTTGTTAAAGTTCGAAATCTTTCTGTAGCTGTTTGACTCAAATCTTCTTCTGACAGGTCAGGGTGTTCCTCCATTAAGTCAGACTTGGCATCATCGTACCACAGGCTGAAAGCACTAACCTTTCTGAAAATAATAAAAAGTATGTCAAAAGGAAAATTAAAAGAAAGTTTTAATACAATGGAAATAGCACACATGGCAGTGAGCACATTTATGGTATACAAACATGAAGTTATGCAAGTAAATTTTCTGTCTAGGAAAAATCCAAATAATCTAGCTTACTTTTGATAAATTAAAAAATTATATAATCTTTTTCACAAAACAAAAAATTTAAATCATCTACGCATTCATTTAGTGAAAATAAACTTCAATTATTTAACATAGAATTTTTTTCCCCTCTGCACATTCTCTATAATCTCTCACTCCTGCTGTTGCCTTAAATACTTATTAATATGTGTTTTATATAGTTTTTAAATGTATTTATTAATATATATTTATATCAAGTAGTGATAGCAGTTGTAAAATATTTCTCCTGCCAGCTGATTGTGAAATCGTTGAAATATAATTGAAATAAAAAGTAATCACTAGAATTTGTGTTTCCTTATAATAAAACACAAGATATTTACTTTTACTCTTTACTTGACCAAAGAAACATATCTAAAACATAACTATCAGCAAATTTAATAATAACTGCAAAAAGGCTTGCTTTAAAACGAAGTTGTCCTAAATTCAAAATAAACAGTTATCCATTAAAAAAAAAGACAAAACACACCAATGCTATAAATTGGTAACAATTAAAGTCTAGGCTAAAACTATTAATTTATACCAATAGACAATCTTACTTATTAGAAATAGAATTTTCTGATTTGTCTTCAGATGTTTGTGAGAGAAGCTCTTGTTTAACACTTGATTTACCATCCTTGGATGCCTTATCATCTTTTTTAAAAGCTGTTAACTTGGCCTGATTACCAGTTGGCTGTAAAATATATTTAAAAATATAAATAAAAAATACACACATACAATACTAATGGCAAGGTACTCTGAATTTACAATGTGGTAAAGTTCCCCTGGGATTACAACATCCCTAATTACATTTCAAATCTTTAAAGAAAAAAATGTATGGACAAAATTTGCAATTGTGCACACAGTTTTAAAAAAAAGAAATTAACACTTGATGCAGAAGGAATAAAAGAATGCAAACACTGCACAAACTATTTTAGTTACAAGCAAATCTAATTTTGTATCTAATTTGCAGGGTTTTGATAAAAAAAAAATAAATAACATAACTTTTTCTCAAGTCACCTTTTTAGTAGATTTCTTAATAGTAACTGGTATTGGTGCAAATATTTGAGGTGTTTTTGGAGTCGACTTTTCCATTTTGTCAAAAACTTGTGTGCCTTTGGGAGTTTTTTCTATAGAATCTAAACGAGCTATCTGAAAATTAAATTCAAGCAATGTTTTATAAAAATAATTTGCTTTTTTAATTCTTAAAATTTATAACCAACATAACACACCCAAAAATTTAATTCTCTAAATTTTTAATGAAAACACATGCCCAAAATTTCTGATATATGGTAAGTAATACATGAAAATAGTGATCCTAAATGTTTATTTATGAAAAACGCTGTCATGAAAATAGAGTTTAAAAAAATTATACATATTATAAAATCCTATCATTTAAAACAAAATGTTACAATTTAAAGATATGTTCAAATTTCTATTTGGTTACCTTGAATGGGTTACTTCTTGTGTTTGACTTTTCTTTGACTTTGTTATTCTTTTCAACATTTGTTATCAACAATGGACCTGATAGAAATACATCTTGCAGTTAAAATTATTTTTGTTACAGGGCCATGAAAATTAAATGAAACTGACAGATGGTAAAATATACATTAACATTCTATTACTTAAACAATTGATTTAAACTTACCAGAACTGAATGTTTTGAAATCTTCATCTCCTTTAGCCTCAGGTTCGTCATTCTCCTCTACATCATCATTGCTGTTGTCATTTTGAATAGACCTAAATTGAAAAGTTTAAGAGAAAAAAACAAAAAAAAACTCTGTATATATTAAGTTAGTATCTACAAATTCGAGGAAATTTCGGAGCCAATGTTAGCTCAATGGGCTTTATACCATATGTGAATGACAAATTAGAAAATTCTAAATTCTGTGAAAACTCTTCAGCCAAATTCAAGCTACATGCTGCAAAGCTAGACCGCACACCTGTACTTTCTTGTGTCCTTATTTTCTTCGTCTTCATCTTCCATCTCTCTTTCCACTTGCCCATTTGTGCCTTGATTTATCTCATCTTGCCTGCTTTGCATAACTTCACTAACACGCTCAGCAAGTTGTAATCGTTTCAGACGTGTAGCGTATGTTGCTGCCAGGTGGAGCAAGCTGATATCCTCCATCATGTCACACACTTCCAAGGCTCGAAAATCTCTATTAGATTTGGTTGCAAACTGTGGGAAATAATTGTTTGCTAATGAAGGATCACAAAGAAAAAGATCAATGAAATTAAATTCAATGGTTTTATGAATAGAAATTTTATGGAACACAAAACATTAATTAAGAAAAAAATAAATAAATCATAAATTTGATGGTGTGTTAAATTAAACTTAAATTATTGCATTAGGTAGTCCAAACTAGAGAAAAAATACATTTCAGGGTCATTTTGCAGGGTGTTACACGAATAAAATTTATATGTGAAAATAGTTTAAGTCTTTATCTGGCGAAATAGTTTAATTTTGTGTCTTTAACTTGTGTTTTGAAAATGTATTTACCCCATGATGTTTCAAGCACTTGAGGGTTCGCATCTAACTAAGTCATATGAATAATTCTACCACCATAAGAAAGAGCAGATGCCTATCTTTCTTTTGTTGTGTAGAAATTATATATATGTAGGCTTATTTTATTTTGAAAAAGCAAGTCTAATCCTATCTAAATCTATAAAAGATAAATTGGTTTAAGCAATGAGATTTTAATTTACATCCTTCATCATCGAGTAGGCATGAAGCCTCGATGTTTACAAAAACACCAATATATCCTGTCCTAGAGCGATAGCACTAGACCACTGATGCATATTTGACCACAACTACCAGTGTCATGGCATAATATAAAATGAGTAAAACAGAGTAGGGTTAAACCTGAAAAAAGGAAACGTAACAAAACAACGAACACGTCGGCAGAAAGCCTTCATCAGCGAACAAAACAACAGGAACAACGGTATAAAAATACTTTTTCGGTCACAAAATAAAAACAACTAAAAAGCATTCTTATTTTTTCAACTTTTGAATGAATGACTCTAGCTGCTTGAAAAAAAGTTGGAGCAAATACACCAGTTCCTGTACTTCTCTGCTAATCATTTTAGAAATATAGGTCCTAAAAATGCCATTTTTTTCATCAATTTGAAAATGGCAGAAATTTTTTATAATCAAGATATTTCTATAAAATAATAATATGTGTCATATGTCTTCAAATAAAAAGTTCTATCAGGTCAAACTTACTATAAATACTGCCATGTTTATTTAATTTCAGTTAGGATTACCTTATTGCATGGTATATTGTACTCACAGCAAATAATTTAATGAGATTTTCTCTCATACGTTTGTCCAATTCATCATCCTCGATTCCAGAGTCCATTAAATGTTTAGTTAATATGAAGCTGCGTTGGTAGGATTCCTGTTCATATAGATTATAGGCCGATTATTAACAAGCTGTAACGCTAAGGCATAGGTATAAACTTTTTGAAAGCTTGCCAGACGGAAATTTCTAAGACATTTTAAAACTAAATTAAATATTTAGCATATTTTGTTTCAAAAGTATTTTTTATTCCATCACTTTCAGATATTTCTACCATGATTTAATAATTCAACTTTGAAATTGACTAATTAAAGTTACTTCATATTGACTTTTCTCAGAGTCAGGATCACATAAAGGTACTAGGAATGGAAGCACAACAAGTGCAGGTCTAGGCAGAGTGGCAGGGTATCTTGAACCTTTGCAAGGGATACACCTAAACAGATGGAAAAATGAGATGAACATTTCCTTTATTGAATTTTTAAACTATTTTTTAACTGTTTCAGAACAAATATGAAAATTGTAAGCAATAATCATACCTGATTTGTTGCAATCTTTCACTGACACCAACCATCCAGTAATGGTCAGATTTACCTTTCACCTTCAAAGGATAAGTTTGAAATGAATTTATTAATACATATTTTTAAATCTATTTTTGTTGGTGATGCAAAATGAGCTTATAAAGATTAAGTGATTTAATGTTAACTAATTCAACAATCATTGTCATCAGCAATCTCTGTGTTTTAAAAGTAAAATGTTGTTGACTATGTTAACAACACCACAATTATTTAGACAGTAGTTTATAAATGTATATTCAATTACATGTTTCTTGGTATTGGCCACAGGACACCATGTTGACCCAAAGTAAGGATTCAACATTCTGACAATGCCATCAAGATCCATGCTAAAGATACCTCCTTCCTCGGAGAAGCTGTTCAAATAAATACTGTTTAAAATTTCTACATAACAAAATAACTGTAAAATCATACAGTTGTCAGTGCATAAACTAAATGTATGCATTACAATATAACTTATCATCTATAACCACATTGCTACTAAGTGTGAAATATGCCTACATTAATAAAAACATTCGTTCTCAAAATTTACAGAGAGCAACCCCAGTTTAACCACAGAAAATTAAAAAAAAACAAAAAAAAAACGTTAATTGAAATCAAATTTAATGCACTTGAATTGTAATATTGAAGCGTTTGAAAACAGACAAAAAAGTCATACCCAATCCATGACAGTTTAGACCCTGGAGTTAATGGAAGACTGTCCCCATTAACAAGCACCTTCTTTGAGCTCCCCTGCACCTGCATGACAAAGACGCCCATATGCTGGTCCCCAGGCAGTCCCATGCCCTTGTGGTATAGGGCAAGAAGTTGGTTTCCATGTGCTGCAAGTGCTACCACACATCCAGGCAGTGAAAATATCTGGCGCTGCAGTCCCCCAATTGAGAAAATCCTGATATTTCGTGATTCTGTTGCCACAGCCACCCACGTTTCTGTTAATGTGATAGCCTATACAATTGAAGAAAAGAATCAGCAAAAAAAAAAAAAATCACACATGTTAAGCTGCTTTTTATTTTGAAGACTTATTTAAAAAATGTTTTATAAAAATGTAAATTGAAAAGAGAATTTTTACCAACCCTTATGTCTTCCCCTTCTGGCATTGTATACGACCATTCCTTTTGACTGTCCCATGAGCCAAAATGCATACAGAGTAATTTGCTATAGGAAAAGAATATTTTTTTATGATGAGTAGATAAAAAAATTATGCATCCAAAACATGGTTATCACTATTGAGAAAAAACATAATTTTAACTTATTGAGTCAGGTGAATGACTGCACATGCCAGAACTTATTACTAAAAGAAAAACCTTGGATTGTCGTCATCTTCTCTGGATGCCAGCAGCACAGCTTGTTTTGACAAAGCAGCCATTATATAATCTGATTTATTGTCAATGTGGAGGGCATGATGTGTAGATGTGTCATGAAACTCAATGTCGATAGAATTTTCATCTTCAGATACATACTGACGTACAGTGCCAACAGAATTCCACACCTGAAATCAGTTTTTTTTTTAAGGACAGTTCTTGATTTATGAAGGTTCAATTTACTAAAATTTCATTTGCTTTAAGTATTGGAAAATTACAGACACTGATGAAAATATGAAAAATGAGTTCATATAATAATGTATTTATGTGCAGACTATATAATTTTGTTTTATTGTAATAAACTTAGCATATAATGAATATACATATTGGAAATGAAATGCAATGCTTTTCATATGTAAAATTACAGTCAATAAATATGTGGCTTGACACATATGATAAAAATAAATAACAAATGACCTATAGGAACAAAAATAATTACTTAAATGATAAACTGCCTGTATTTTCTTTGCATTTTGTAATGTTGTATAGTAAGACAGCTCATAGTTGTTTTTTATAATTTTTTTTTTAATTGACTTAAATTAAAAAGTGAAAAAATCTTAGCATCTATATCCTACTTCAGTGATTTAACAGTTCATACCATAAACCTGGATGAGAGATGTTCAGGGGTGGAACCAGGTTGAAATGGAGGCTGTGGAGGGGTGGGCTTGAAAATATTGGCAGGAAGTGCAATCACAGGTGCTGGAGCTGTCACAGTTTTGCTTTCCTCCCCATCTTTACTTGGACCTATAGAATCTGCTGGTAGATTAATGCAAATTTCACATACTCATTATGGTAAGTAATATTTCTATTTCAGAACTTTTGTGATTGGAAATTTTAATAAAATAAAACAAATAATGATCTTGACAAGTGTAATTTTGAAGTTAGGATTGTCAAAACACTTTCAGCTTTTCGTCATATACTCTCACGCTGGGCTCAACATGTGTTTTATGAGGAGCTGGCTGGTATAGGACCTAAGTCTTTCTTTGTTTTAATTGTGAGACCAAAGTTAGTGCAGGCATTGGAGAAATTAGCAACAATGAGTTGCATATCTGAATCTGCCCTCTGGTCCAAATTAAATTATAAATTGAGTGCTTTTTTAAAATTATAATCTATTATTTATTATATTGAATGTGACATATAAATAAATATATAAAGAACTATATATATATATATATATATAGGGAAATAATTTAACTACTCACTTAATAACAAAATAATTAGTACTATAGTGTTTTTTTGTTTATAACTCTCCTCACATGTCCATTGATTTCAAACCAAGCTAAGCTAGCAATTAGTTTTTAAGCTATTGGGTGTTTTCTGAGAAATTGAGTAGGCCATGTTTTTATATTAGAGAGTAGGTTAATGCATGTTTTATAGAAAAGCAATGTAATTACTTGTATCATCATTGTCAAGGTTTAAACTTCTTTTAATGCTTCCAATATCTATACTGTTTTCATCATCCTCAAAGAACTTGTCAATGTCATCTCCATTATTATCTTTAGTAGGTGAGCGGCCAGTTGTAGTAACCAGCATGTCATCATCCATATCATCAAAAACTGAGCCACCATTTTTTGTTGTTACAGACATATTATTTTCCTTTAGAAAAAAATTTTAAAAAGCCTAAATTAAACTTTGCTTTAAAATGAAATACATACAGGCACCTACAATTACATGAGCCTCAAGCTACAAGGGAAATAATAAGCAGTGATATGGTCTTAATTTGTGTCTAAAAAAATAAGAAAAAAAAAGCTGCAAAAATATTTAAGAATCCCACTTCCTCTGACCTAGCCTTATCACAAACGACACTCAAATATAATTTTTTTTTTTTCTACAATGCAGACATTTTGAAAATCTTGAGAAATATGGCATCATTCTACGGGCCTCAAAGAAAGTTAGGTGTGATGTAAGGTCAATTTGGCAATGTTTTCCTATTTTATTAAATCAGACCTGTTTACTCTTACGATTTTGGCGTACAATGTACGATTTTGAGGTGTATGCATTATATACACTGTGTGGTTTTTTTACTATTAAGATAATGTATTGAACAATTTTGAGGTGACATTGTACGATTTTAAGAGTTTGGGGGTAAACAGGTCTGTTAAATGTTTGAAACTTAAAGGACATATATTTGAGGCCAGAAAAGGAATAGTTAACAATAACTATAAGAAAGAGCTAATGTATTTGCGCAAGGCTAGCTGATACAGGCTAATGTAGATGTGAACTGTTGGATTCATAAAAAATAATGATAGTGATTTTGTATTACTTTACAATAAAATGAATCAATTTAAATATGTGCAGATTCTTAAAACAGTGATAGTGATTCAAATTTAATCTGATAAAATATATTTGCTTTTATGCAAATAACAGATTTTCAGGTTTTCTCCAAGTGCCTAATAAAGGAAGATAGACACAACACTATCATCAGTGTAATACTGTTGTATATTAAAACCATAATAATTTAAAATTATAGTAGTTTAAGTATAAATCTCAATGTGAGATTGTGTTTTGTATAAAACTATTACATTCAATTAAGATGATCTTGTCTAAATTAAGGTCTAATAATTAAATCTAAATACATGTGAATGGTTCAAATCGACAGAATTAACTTTTCTTGATTTTAACCACCTGAAAAAACTGATGTTTTATGTTCCTCTTTTTCAAATAAATATGTTTGTTTGCTTTTTAAATTAGGAAACTATTTTTTTTAACATGCATCACAAAATTTTAGCTTGGTATTTAAAACATTTTTGTATCAGTCTCTCCAAACCCCAATTATGTTGCAGATTGAATTTTGGTAAGGATTTTAATTTTAAAAATTAAATTACCAAAGGCTGTTAAAAGTGAAAATTGATAAGATGTTCTTTTTGATCAATGAGCATTCTGTTTTAACGTATTTTCCGATAATACAGTTCAGGAGCGAGGCAGAGGTTGGGTAAATTGTTAATGAAGATATCAATATATCAAAATCTGTTAATGCTACATATACTTAAAATAGTACATATATATTTTTTATAAATTAGGACAAATTTTTACAATTTATAGAAATTCTTTTCTTTCTAGATCATGTGAAAAAGGGTTGGGTTAGCCTATATTATTTAGAAGAAAACAATTCCCAAAACTCAATGAGGTGAGGAACATAAATATCTATACATATATTTTATATAATGAAAGGCTAGTTTACTATTTCCTAAATATACAATACAAGGGCTTTGAAAACTGTCATATATGATGTACAATACATCAAAACTTGATTCAGTTACATACGTAAAAATTGAATATTTAGATGATGAGACTTCGCAAGACAGGTGGAATGTAGTGCATATTCCTTCCATTATTATACCAGTAACACCGGGACATATATTCTAGTAATTATAGAACTACTTTGCAAGGTGCTCCATTTTTTATCAATAAAAACTGACATATTTTATTATGTTGGTTAAGAAACTTTTTGATCTCACTTAGAATTCTGTATTTTATAACAAACCACTCATAAAATTAAATTTACATAACATTCATTATAATAAATAATTTTTATAAAACCTTAAATTTAGCACATTTTGGATGAAAGTACAAATATTTTCTTAAATATGAGATGAATAAATTGTTGTTACTCTTTTGTCACCAATAATAACATCAAGAAATCCAAGTTGACCCTGTCAAAAAAAAACAATAGAAGCATTAAACGCAGAAGAAAAAACAATTTATTATGTCTAAGTATCTAAGTATTATATTTGAAAAAACAAAAAAAACAAAACAGATGTGTTAAAAAATGATTTTTAAATGAAAATTAACATTTTATAAGAAGACAATTCTTGCTTTAAGTCACTTACACTGTTGTCACATAATGCAAGTTCTCCACCTTTAATTGGATTCCAGGCCATGGATGTTATCAATAAATGTTTAGGATGACTATGTCTATAAAAGAAAGATAAAAAAAAAATTAGATCTAATAAAATAAAATGAAGAGTGAAATTGTATCAAATTTTGATTAACAAAAGTCAGGTATATTATTATTAAAATATACAAATTAATTTGTTGCATGCAGATGACATCTTTGAAAATTCAATTTAATTGGTAAATTAAAATATTCTAATGCTTCTCAGAATCTTGAATATGCATAGTAAACATAATTTTTTTTTGCCTGACAAAAGATAGAGGTATTTGTATAATTACTAAATATCAATTTTTTAAAAAGTTAATGGCAATTTGCGTGACCTGGTATGAGGGTTACACAAATGGCACATCAACAGCAGACACAATAAAGTCTAAAAGTAAATTGAATTACTAGGCAATACTGTTCTACATTCATATTACATAAAGCTTAATATAGAAAAATGTAAAAGTGAACTTATTTTTAATCTAAGGACTTCAGAACCCAATTAATTAAAGTTGTAATTTTTTTTTTAATTTAGTACAGTAAAAATTTTGAAATAGATTTATGAATATTTCAGTTTCTTTTCCTAGATAACTTACAAAAACACAACTTACTTTGCAATCAATTTATTATTTTGCCATTCAAATATTCCAATGTCTCCATTAGTGCAGCCCACAGCAATGTGCTTGCCATCAGAACACATAACCATCACATTAATGACCTAAAATAATGTTAATACTTGGAAATCAAAGATGACTGAGCTTAGTTATTAGCATCAGCTATCAACATAACGCTCACATTAATTTAAATGGTCTGTAAAATAAAATTGAAAAAGGATTACTAAAGAAATATAAATTTAAGATTAATGATTGATCTTAGTTATTGCCTAACAAAATTATATTACACAGCCATTCAAGTTTATTAAACAATCTGTTACTATTTTTTGCGCTTTTACTTTGGTATTTACTCACATCTGTAATATCTGAATGGCTTAGTTTTCTCACAACCTCCCAAGATGATCGTAAATAGATGTGGACTTCATTGCTGACAGGGATCAAAAGGAACTTAAAAAAAAAAAATTATGTTAGTTTCAGACCTGGTTACAATGGTATTTCCAAAATAGTACAAAATAGCACACTATCATTTCATAATAGTATACACAGTATTCAAAACGGACAAATACTTTAAACTTTGTTGAAATAACTTGTTAAGTAATTGTATTTTTTGTTTTGCTGATTCTGTGTGCTTACAGTCGCTGTTATTATCAAGATAATACAAACAACCCCCCCCCTTTTTTTTTTACAAAGAAAACTCTCCCCAAAATTTTTTTAAGCTATTGCTGCGCAAGAGTTTTTAAATAATAAGAAAACAATCCAAGCAGTAAATAGTAAAATTGTCAAACAATACCTACTGAAATACAACAAACATGAAAAAAAATATATCAAATATTTCAAGATGTATAACCTATAATTATTTATCAACTGTTTCCTTTCCATTGAAAATTTTCAGCTATTTATTTCTTTTAAGACTCCCAGGTTGTTGAGATTTTTCTTTAACCTTGACCACCACATTTTGAGATTGTTTACTCGCCCTGGGTTTCTCAGCAATTTCAGTTTAAAAATAAAAAGAATGTCTTTTTAAGATAACTATTCTCTTTTGAGATACAATTAATCACATAATAAAACCTTTGGCTGTGTTGTCATCTCCATTAAGATGTTGAAAATGGGAGCAATATTAGGACAGAGATTTAGCTACCACAAGTGGGACACTTGTTTATTCACTTTATATATATGGACATTGTCTTCTAGTAGTGAAAATGAATTTGTTATACTTAAATGCATAAAAACTCTACAATCAGAATATCACATTCGGACACACAATTGGAGAATTTTGCAGAAGTCACAGTTAATCTAGAAGAGTTGTATTTTTTTTGTAGAAATGATAAATTTTCTTACCTCTCCATCTGTAGACCAACACATTCGACAAAGCGACTTGGCTTGGCTACAAAAAAAAATTTTTTTTTTTTTAAAATCAAGGTAGCAATTTTTCTATAATTAAATTTTAAGTGCAAACAGTCATTCTAATGTTGTTTTTTTTAAATGTGGGCTGTAGAAAGCTATCATTTAAGAATTTAACATCCACTGCTATGATACGCAATCAAAAATTCTTCTGATGAACCTCAACACAACTTAATGTTTAGGGTTTTAGAGGAAAATAACATTTTAAAACAAATTTTACACATTAAACAATTATGCAAACACACAAAATACATTAAATATCATTTGTTGGACTATTTTTAAAGAAATAGAAAAAATATGACATTTTATGGAGTCACCTCGAATCACTGCATTTTGTAAGTATATTTAGAGATTTTTCTGTCGCTCCATCAATTATGTTCCAGATTTTTACTGTTCCATCACAACTGGAGGAAGCCTATTAAAATATATATACATTTTAAACATTTCTTATCAATAAGCTAATTTTTTGTTCAATTTAATCATAAAATTTAAAATATTTTGTTTTTAACAAATAAATATATTACTGCTACATTACATTCTACTATAAAAATAAAAGGCTATATTGAAAATATGTAGACGATAACCAAAGGATTGGATTGAAAAAAAATTCTCACAATAAATTCTTTAGTGGGATCTACAGACACACTGAGGATAGGCGCTTGATGTTCAGAATAAAGACAAATGCACTCGCTCTCCTCCATAGATATAACCTTAATCTTGAAGTCACTGAAATACAATATAATCATAATTGGCCACAGTAATTAAAACGTTAAAGAATTAAAGCCATCAAATATTTTTTTCAGATTAAAAAAAGGAAGATTGGCTCTATTTTTTGCACACAAAAAAAAAATCAAAAGACGCTTCATAAATTTAAAACCATAAATTTTTTAAAAATTTTGTACAAGAATAGTGACATTAGATTTATTATAGCCCCATTCACTGCATAACTTAAGTCTCTCGTTGGACACCCCAGATATAAAACAACAAACAATCTTTGACTTACTCAGCTCCAGCAATCAAAATGGAACCATCGTCACATAGACAAAAATGTCGACAGGGTGCTGTGAATCTAGTGACCATCCCATCCCCAACCCCATCTGGAAACGTGTGGATGCGGATTGTATTTTCATCTGTAGCAGCAAAGAATCGACCTCCCTGTTGGACATGTATTTTATATTGTAAATGATAAAAAAGAAAATAACAATGTCTATGCTTGGGAAGTGTAGTTTATCCAGGTATATCAAGTTGAGCGCCATGGAGACTATATTAAATCTAATTCTGGGGAGCAGTTTATTTTTAATTATTTTTAATTAAATGTCAGGAGTAGGCAAAACTAAACATATGGATATTCAGGAGCCACTTTTTCTTAAGAGCCAGAATTTGTTTTACAAAATGTGAGACAAAAACCATGAGTCAAACTAAAATAAAGCTGCATATTTCTTCTTCTTCTATATCTTGAGGGCCCACAATCAACGTATTGATTATTCTGGCTGCTATATATGTAAAGTGGTTTCGCGATGTTTCTGGTGTTGAAGAGCATATGTCACTGGCTGCAAGGACCACTCAGCGAGGGGAGGAACTGGGAGGAACTTGGAAGGCAGGAGGCAATAGACACAAATGTGTCAAGTGTTGTCACCTAAACTGTTCCTTTCAGAAGCTTGATCCAGTCCCTTATTGTAATTGAAAGGAATGAGTACTATGTACTTGCTGTTATGAGCCGGAGCTGCCTGTCATGGCCTTGTCGCAGTCCAGGTGGGAGAGGGATGAGTTCTTTTTAATGCTGGAGGAGTGGACCAACCCATTTTTCATCTTGAGCATCATGGAGAACCTGGATAATCATCGTCGTTATTCCAGTGGTTACCACCCCAGTGTTTCCAGCATGCTACCAACACATGAGGTATTCCTGAAGCTCTTCAGGACGAAGCGTGCTGCTCGTCTATTCAGCTATTCGATGAAGGTCCTGTTGTCGCTGGTTCTGGTCAGAACTGTTGGCGATTATCATATACACCACTGTGTCATCTGCGAAATTCTTGCTTGTGAGGTCAATTTCTCAGACAGGTCATTGATGTATGCTAGGAACAAACCACATCGAGCCCTGGGAGACCCTTGATTTAATACCGACAAAGAAGGAGCTTGTGTCTGACATCGGTGGGTGAGGAAGCTACAGATCCATGATTTTGTAGCGCCTTGAATCCATATCTCTTCAACTTTAGTTTGTGTAATTGCAAACTATGATTTACAGTCAAATGCCTTTGAGAAGTCCATCACCAGCAAGTAAGTTTGCTTGCTGTTCTCTAGATTGGTCGTCAAGTCTTCTACAAATTCGAGGAGCTGGGTCTCACATGTTCTATTGACTCGTAAGCCATGCTGACAGTCATTGACTATATTGTGACTTTCAAGATGCTTCATGACTGTGCTTACGATTACATGCAACAGTTTGCATACGACACTGGCGAGGGATACTGGACGATACTTGACAGTCACCTTAAAATGTTTAATTTAACACAAAATTGGACTAAAATTAATTAAATAAAAATGTATGAGACACTAACACAAATAAACAGTCTGTAAGCAGCCAGTCAACATTAGGAAATCATATATTTGTCAATTTGAATTTCCAAAAAATACAAAAGATTAATAGAGTTTGTTGGATCAAGCCCTTTATTGCAGAACATATAAATATAATATCATCTGGTCAATTAAGTTTTTCCTGACAAGATGGTTAGCAGCTTATGTTTGTAAAAATGTATTGAGCTGTGGCTTGGTTTCACTGAAATTAGTTGCTATTATAATGAGTATAACAAAACAAATTTTTTAACAAATATAGAGAAAGGAATTAATGATTGTTTTTTCATGTCATAAATAGATTGAGTAAACTTCCATTATTCCATATCTAACTGGAATATGTTGTTATTTTGAGCATTATACCTGCCAAGTGTCAAATTAATTAATTTTACTGATAAACTGCACTACTTTTATTTCACTGTCACCAATAGTGCAATAACATTTAATGGCATGTTTATTATTATAATTTAACAATATACCAATACACAATCACGAGATACGGAAACACATTAAAAATAATTGTTTCATTTTTATTTTTTAAAATTTAAACATTTTTTCTTTACATCATTTTAAAAAAAAAAGAGAAGTTATAACATATATATAACATAAAACATATATATATAACATAAAATGTAATATAATTTTTAAATGCTTTTTTGGATATAACAACTTGTTTTGATAAGCAATTATAATTACAGTAAAATACATTTTAAACGTATTTTACCTGAAAGGCTAGGGCAAAAATTCTGTCGCCTATGTTTACAGTTGTTGTATCAGTGTCATCTCTTCCTTCCCAAATGCAAATTTTACCATCACTCCCACTTGTAAGGATAAAACTGGAAAAATTATTTTCAAAACATTAGATTGTAGCCAATATTAACAATATGTATTCTATCCAATAAAATTAATTAATTAACCACCAAACAAAATGAACATGAAATTAATAATAAGGCCAACTATATGTTTAAATTATTTTTGATGAATGCATTAATCGCTAACTTGATTATTAAAATTTTGAAAGGCTAATTGAAACAAAAATAAATTGGCCTCTCTGAAAACAATCATGCTAAAAATTTTATGATAGAAACTTATTTCCAAATCTTTCAGGATTTACAATGGTCCATCATCCATAGTACTTCATACTTAGCTAATGTTAATAAAGCTTAATTTGATTAAAGATTTGATTAAGTAACAAGTAGGAAGAGGAAGCTGTAGCTCCCCCAGAGTATGGCGGCACACAGTTTGGGGAAGCTCTTTTCAAAGCAAATTTTTCTGACATAGATGCAGTAGTATTAAGAGTCTTTGTACATGATAAGGTTACAAGCAAGACATCAGAGTAGTGAACAGGGTGAATTTCTCTACAGAACTACATGGGCAAATTGATTTTAGATAAGAAAAGAAAGCACAATTAAATTTACACTCTGAAATCAACAAAAATTTGTTTGCCAATAATTAATTTTTGTGAATTAGAAGAATTAGAACAGCCGGTCCAAATGACATGAATATTAATGATCAAATAAAAAGAAAATATAATTAATAAATCTAGCACTGGTCCCTTCTGCAATTTTGAAACTTGTAGAAGTTTGGGAAATGACAAATCCCGCAGCAAATTTGTGATAAAAAAATTAAAATGGTATCAGGTAATGAATGGTAATTAGTTTGCAGAGCAACATTAACTACATACTAAAATGAAAAGGAAAAAAAGTAAATTGCAATAATTTTTAATGTTGAAAAGATTTTTTAGAGAGAGGGTGGTGGTGCATATAATAAAAAAAATCTGCAAAATTTTTTTGTTATAGAGTGACATGTTTTATGTTTTACTATAGTCACAGCTTGGGCAACGCTATCCCCAACCAACATGCAGCGAATAGTGAATAGACCTCTAAATTTAATTTTGCCCTGACAAAATATTTTTAGTAAATAGTATGCATGATTAAAAAGTATTTTGCAATATCAACTATTATTGAAATTTCATTCACTATCGTTGTATTTAATATTAAGCATCTAGTATCCATTAAGCAGTTGAATAAAGGTGCATACTTATGTAATATGGTAGTTTAAAAACCGATCTATTGACTGCTAATTTATAAATAATGAACTGCCTGCCAAACTGTAGATATGAATTGAGTACACTTATTGAAACAAAATTTTTGAAGTTTTTTAAAAGAAATGGAAAGTCAAATTTCATATTAAATTGTGGTTAAATAGGCCTTTGATACTCTATGATTTAACTACAGTTGACAGCTTATTTATTCGTTTCATTTTTTTATTTAACCTAGGCCTATTATTATATTATTTATATATTGTGAGGCGAATTTTACATTTCATTTGCCACAACTATTGCTTGTTTGGAAAAAATTTTGCCTGCCCACTGGCCACCAAGGCTATAATTTACTATAAAAGACAAAAAGAGAGGTGAATATTGAAGTGGACCCAAAATTATGCCACCCCCCACAAATCACTTTCTTCCACCATCTAATGCAAGTGCATATGCTTAAGTTCTTAGTTACATATTATATAATAAAATTTTACTTATTCGCTTTGTTAAAGACACGACACTTAGTTTAGTAGGCCTACTCAGTTACACTTAAAGCGAATCGCACTACTAATGTGGCTTGAAAATTAACAAGTTATACTAGTTTTCATCCTTCCAGTGATACTTACATTACAATTGAAGTTACTAAAAACTATTTTAAAAACTTTAAAAAAAAGACTTTCTATCAGTATCACAGAGGAGTTTAAACGCACTAAAATGTAGAAGTTAATTAAAAATTTCTTAAAAAGCATTATGGAAAGAAAGAACGTGTAGAAAATATTTTTTAAAATTTATTACAACATATTTACGCTTCGTCTACATTCAATTCGAATCCCTGGCTACAAGAATGCTAATCTACACTTTTGCACAGTCTTTCTTTGCGTAATTCATTTTAGGAAATGTTAAATTATTTTTTCTTTTTAGTGCATTTAACCTCCTCTTTGATAGCAAGTCTTTTTATTCTTTAAATATTTGTTATTTGCTACTTTTTGGTATCAAAATTGTACGCTTTCAATTATCTACAAAGGTAGAGTTATTAACTTTTTTAAACAATGAATGCTTACAAAATCCCAGTTGAAGTGACTTAACTCTTTACTTAGGCATAAAACCAAAAGAAGTAGACCTGAGCTCACCCACCAACCCATTCATTCAACAATGAAGAAGACACAGCCAACCATGATAATGTGAGCGACAGTGTAACCTGCCTCTGCCACCCAGTTTTCCAGCCATTCACCAGATAAACACTGTATGAGAAATCTTAAAATGTCATATGTGTAAATAAAAATAATGCTCCATCCACACACAAAATGGAAATGCAAGAGAAAGTCTTTAATAAAGTATAGGCCTCTGCCTACTTATCTTACTAATTTCTTTAATTAGCTTACTTCTAGTAGTTATAGTATTGTTGTTATAACATATTATTACAATTTTTATAGATAGAATGAATGATACATTTTAACTTATTAGTAATATTAGGCATTAGAAGCACTGCAGTATTAACCCATGGTAGAGTATGTCAACAGCCTTGTCATCTAAACGCACACGGAAGCGCACACGGTAAGAGACGACTGTGATTTCAGAAGAGAGTCTCGGCTATAGTTTATAAGACACGCCACGGTTCTTTCTTCAGTGGCAGCCGCCTGTCACTGAAACATATATTGTTTACTGCTGGAGTCATGATATGCCACACAGACCATAGACAATTATGAAACATGAGGCTGACATCAGTCCTGGCCCTCTGAAGACTGTAGATGTGTGAGATGTGGACGTGGATAAATAACAATCATGACCATGATCAGATAAGCGGTCTGGATGTTGATGGGCAGCCTATTTCAAACTATTGGCTATTGGTCAGTATTTGTGGTGAACAATGATGAATTTATCTTTCCAATGAAACAATGTCAATAACTAATAACAAGTTCATCATGAATGATGATATTGATATTCATTCAATAGTTTTTGTCGTTTCTTGGTTACGGTTGCAAATATCAGTATCAGTGGTGTTGACTTTAGTACTCATACTGATACTGTCTAACCTAGGGCTTAAATTAATAAAGGGTTTAGTTGTCAATCATTAATTACATGCCATGATTTTACATGCTGTGAGTGAATAGTGTGAATATGGGCACCCAAACTGGACGGTTGCCAGAGACAGAACCGATACTAGAAATAAGAAGGGAGCTCAGTACTGTCAGTTTTTATTTAGTATTTAGTAGTATTTAGTTAATTTAGGAATATGATTCTCCATGGCCATCAATTCTCCATGACCATGCCCCCCACCCCCATGGCCATGCCCAAATTAGTTCAGTCATTTCATTATTTTCATTAGGATGATTAGTGATAGTGACATTAGTTAGTCTAACTACTCTTCTACCTTTTTCAAGACGCTTACCTCCCAGACGAATCATAACACACTTCTGTATGACCATCAGGGTGAGCCATTTTTAAGGGCTTCATGTTATCCTCTTAATTTAAAGATTTAGAAATTAAACATATACTTGTTCGGAGAAATGCGAATAGGCATTCCCAAATTTGGCGCGACTTCAAGATAAACTTCCGGTAAAAGATATGGACATGGAAAAAAATAGATGTCTTAAAATTAAAACAAAAGCAAATACACAATTCATCATATCGATTATCTGTGTCGCTGGTCTTGAAAATTCGATTGAATACTTCTGTGTTTTTTTTCTTCAAAAATTGTTGGATATTCTGCAATCGTTGACTTTTAATAGTTATTTGAAATATTAAATGGGGTTTGCAAGAATAATTTGCAATGACGTCAGATCGTCACGCCCACGCACTTTGTCTTTAAGGCTTCCGGTAAAAGTAAGGGATAACAAAAGGTCTCGCCTGGAGGAAAAATACTTCACTCTCAAGAGTAGCCACAAAAATGGATTACTTATAAAATCAACCAAGTATTGGTTATTGTAAGGTAATAAGTGTGTGTGTCTCCCTACTCGACAGTGATACCACTATTACACTTTTAATTATTTTATAAAGAAACTGCGGCCACAGTGAGCAACTCTATCTTAGATCTTAGTCTTAATATTGAGACTATTTTTTTGACACTATTCATTGACAGTTTCAGTTTGACACAATCAATGACAATGTTTTTCATTAATTTGTAGTCAGTCTGAGTCTCTCCCTCAAGGGAAAAGGAACTACCGCTGGCCTGACCGCTCAAACTATCGGTTTTGGGGAAAGGTCTGAAAATATTTTAAAACTGGACCTCCAGTATTCCTTCACGTTCTCTTTCATGTTTTAAGAGTGGTTATTTCGTGTCCATTCTTAAGTTGTATTATTCAAGAATAAATCAATAATGATAATAATTATTGATATACACCCTTTCTCTGTCACCTGAGACTGAGTGTAAAGTAAGTCTAAACTCTACTTTTAACTAAGAAGAGTAAGGGCTGCTAATTAGTAACTAATACTCTACAGGCAACTCGGACTCGGTACTGGGCTGCCCATTGAACACGCAGCACACTGCCAGTGTCACTGGTATAGGCCTGATGCCGATGTGCCGCCTATTGGTGATATATTACAATAAAATTGTATAGATACTTCGGTAAATCAAGGGAGACTAGTACTTTTTGTGTAACGGAATTGGCAATCGGCGCAGAAAAATCTGAGTTTTTATTTTTCCGATGTGTATGTCTATTTATTATTAAATGAGTACTTTCGACATATATTTGAGTTCTGTTTCCGGCCTTATATTTTGATAGACATCTTGGCCTATATTTTAATAAATTTCTTTTTCATTTACAATCAGTCAGCTTTGAGAAAATCCTTGGTAAATATAAGCCAACTTTCATCATTAAAATTAAGTCGCAGTAAAAGATTTGTCACTACCAAATTTTTTTTTGCATCTGGGGAATGTATTGATCTACATGTATGCCAATTTTCATAGTGATATGTTATTTACGAGAGACGGCATGTTTCTACGCGTTCGCAGCAGGTCATGCAGTTTGCTCAACCTAATTTCGCCATGGGGTGGGCCACGCCCCCTTTTTAATGGCGGAAGTTGCAGATACTTAGGAAATAATAATTTATTACCACTATTTACATCAAAATATTTGATAACTTGTGTTTCAGAATGCATTTTGAAGACATTTAAACTGGAATGTTTTAATTGAGCTTTAACAACCCGGTAGAGTCCATATTATAAATGATCAGAATTTACGGTGTGCAACACGTTGTCATTGGCAACCATTCACATTCACTTGCATAATGGCTGTATTGTATTACTACCTCAGAGTTTTATTCATAAGAGTTTGCCGTGTGCAAAAACTATTATACCATTGGTCAGGGAAAGCTTTAATTAATTATTCATGTGCCAAAGTTGAAAGTTTAAACTAAGTCGACCCTAAACTGTATTTTAGTGATAAGGCGATGCATTGCCTTATATTTATATAAAGTATATAGTCATTGCGCATGACGCGATCAGCGGAATGAGGTCACAAGATGTGGAGGTTTCGTCCATAGTTAAAAATACCAAACGAACTCACACTTTAAAAATTCGTAGCTCAAAAAGTACTTAAGCTAAAAAGTTGTTTCTGGTTTCATTTTTTTATTTGAAATTTGCTCTAACTGTGTTATTAAAAAAATTATTTCAAAAGTACCTAAATTGTATTATGGCCTCGTTTTATTTTTTATTTATATATTATATAACTTTACTCTAAGTCTAAGAGTCTAAGACTCTATTAAAATTCTTTTATGGTCTAGCTAAGACTACTGCAAGATCTAAGTGCAGAAGCTAAAAAAAGACGGATTAGTCCTAACTCTAACTAACTAGTTAAACTAGGCCAAAATCTTATTTTTTAAAAACATTGCCCTTAAGCCTTTTGTGGGACTTCACATAACATTTTCATGGCTGAGCCTGCCTGAGAAGCGGCTGGCAATGTCTTCTATGGTATATAATGATACATACCATAGATCTATAGTCACTGTGTAGGTAAGGCATACTTCTCAGATTTACTACCGGCAATCATTCCTATCTATATTCAAAAGATTCGGATTTTGAACTCTGTGCCTATCTGATACTGGTGTCACAAATGACTGGGGCAGGGGTTAACAACAGAGCTCCATTGTTCTTCAGATAAGTTATGGGGTGGACGGAAATTGTGATGGGGAGGGGGGGGGGGATTGTTAGGCGCACAGGGTAGGGTTAATAGATTCTCGTTTCTTTTAGATTAGGAGGATTTTTCTTGCCAAAATATTATGTCTCGGGCCTTCCAGACTTCGCGTTATAATTTTGATGTTAACGACGGAAGTTCCTAATTGAGAAATTAGAGGGGTATGGATGGGTTAATAGCTAGCATTCCTGGACCACCTAGGGAGGTAGAGAATCGTATATAAGATAGAAATCATTGTGACATAGGAGAGTTAGAGATTTTTGGACAGTGATTATGAAGTTTTAGACGCAGCGGTACTAGGTAGTCAAGATAGACTTAGGGATAGACAGCCAAGAGTTAACAGATAGAAAGGAGACATTGCTGAAATCATATTATATGGATCAATACATTTTTTTATTATAACTGTTAATGAGGAGTTGCTTGGTCATTTATTAGTGTTCTGTGTTTTCTTATTTGTACTTCTCAACGCCTGGACTAGTGAACCATCACAGAGAAGAGCGGCCCCGTATTAATCACACCAACACAAATACCACTTGGTACATGACCATAAATACGGGCAATACCATCTGATCTGTGACGTCTTATCCACACAACGCTTTTTTTTTTGCCTTGAAAGTAAGGAGAGGAGTCTTTTGGAGATATCAAAATTTTAATTTTGCATCAAATATTCTGTTAGCTTTTATTCCCATAGCCTTAATCATGGGGGCACTCCTGTGGCTGCAAAGTAATTTTGTGGATTGGCCTCTGGGCTGGGTCCCACACTAATGGCTATAAAGGTGGGGCCTTGGGGCGTGATTCTTTGTAAGATGCTGTCACGAGCTATGCTGTAACGTTTCAGCAGTTCTATGCTTTGGTAATTGTGAGTTATTCTTCTACTTTCTTTTTGTCTAAAAGCCTTCAGGAATTTTTAAGACAATTGTTTGTTCAACTTTGTGCCTTAAAATGTTGACAATGACTAAGATTTTGTGAATCCATCTCTTCCAATGCTTAAAATTTAAAAACAGGCTAAATTCTTCATGTCCTAAATTGAGTTTTTGCTAGAATATTTTTGACACAGACACACTTTGTTTTATCAATGTGGGCTTATAATCCTTGCACATGCCCATTATTAAAAGGCTCACAAAGAGCGAGATCTATATTTTCAAGTTCATCAAATCTTTTCATATTGTTTTCAAAAATATTCTACAACTTAAAATATTATGACCTAAGTCTTTGTTCTTGTGGACTCAGAAAAAGTAAAAACACCACATATAAGTGTTTTAATTGATGTCCAGTTTGTAAGACTAGTAACATCCGTTGGAAACACAAGTGATGAACTTCGGAGCAAATCCACAGCAACTTTTACTTAATCAGCAACTTTTACTTACAATCAATGGTGCAACCTCTAGCCCTCTTGATCTCACATCCCCCTCCCATACACCCACACACACACTCAGTTGCGAAAACCTCATTCATAACTTGTGATTATACTAAGGTCTACAGAATTAGTACTGGGACCACCATACTTAATCAACTTCTAATGCTTACAAATAATATAATGATAAAAAAACCATCACACATCCAACTGTTACCCTCTCAAAGACATAAATGTTTATATGATTGAATACATGAATTATAATTGAACTTAAAAGCTTTCCTTGTTCAAGAGGACAGTGCGGTTGGATATATATGATATATGTAATAAAGCATTATCTTTAAAAAAACAACTTTGAAGTGTGTTTTATTTAGAGTTCTTGAACTGGGGCTTAAAATTTAAGGGAATAGTGGTAACTAGGTATGTGGAAGCTTAAAATACTGTAGTTCACAATGCTATGAAAAAATTGATTATTTTTCTCTACGAAGTTAGGTTTCATAAAAGTACAGTCAAAGGACAAGAAAAATGGAATTTTTCCTGTATATTAACCCTCGAACTGTGGTCGGCCGACATTCTCGTTCAGTGCTGTAGCGGTCGAAAAATTTGGCCGATAAAAAAACACGGTTGGATAGCAACTTCCAATCCAATATTTAACCGAAATCGTAGCCATTTTCTTTTATTAATAACTAAATCAAATTCCGGGCCAAGCTGTTTCTTGATAACTTAACAATAATTACTTTTTAATAGGAATTTTATATCGCTGTTTTTGTTAAAGTGAAAATGGCGGAAGCTATGGCCGGGCCTTCAGTGCGAGAACTAATATAAATATTTTTGAAAGCTTTTTAGGAGAGGATTTAAGTGATACTGATGATGATTTTAACATTCCCCATGACATCTCACTTCAGATTCTGATACTGAAGTAGGCTCACTGAGGCTACTGTTTGACTTCGAGCCAGGCTTGGAGGTTGGGCAAGGACTGACTGAATTTTAGTCACAGAAGCTACAGATTACAGATCAGAACTAATAAATTTTATAGTTTAACAACCCAAATCAGTTCCACAGTTCCTTTTTAAATGTTTACTAGTCAATAATAACTTTTTTGCCTAAGATTTTGTATTTTGTACTTGGTTTTAGCAGTGGTCCCAGTTTCTTATATAAATGACCTAAAATTACTAAAATTGCTTTCAGATGTGTAATTGCAATCAAAACCTTAGCAAACTATACATTTTCTTATAGATAAATGAATTGGCTACAACATTTAGATTTATTTTTTAAGTGTACCGGGGTATCTATAAAAATTAATGATGTCATGAGCACTTGAATGCAAGACATTTTGTCGATTTTTATTTTCTTGAGAACTCGAAGGTCAAGGACATGGAGCAAATAAATTTTTCAGGGTGGGCAATATGGCCAACTTTATCCCCATCCATTTACCTTTCTAAAAATATATACTTATAGGGGTCTTGTATCCATATTTCTATGTCATTTAATGCAATTTCAAAAGACACTCAAAAAGCTCTGAAAAGCTCCACACCACAGAATGATGCATGCCACAGTTCAAGTGTTAACTTATTTTTGGTGTGTTTGGGGCAAAATCTTCAGATGGCTAATTGACCCGATTCCTGTCAACCAGTCAGGCTGAAACTTGGCACAGACTCATTGCCAATAACAACACATTATATCAAATTTTTAGCCCCACCCCTGACCCCCAAAAATCTATTTTTATCTGTTTTTCAAGGGGAAGATGAAGGAAATATGATGCCACTGATTTCACAGAATTAAATTCCCATTAAATAACTGTGCTAAATGAAATTCTTTTTTTTTTTCTTTCTTTTTATATTGCAATTGTGTAATTTTTTTTTTTTTTTTTTTTTTTTTTTTTTCATTTTTTTTTTTTTTTTTTTTTTTTTTTTTTTTTTACTAAAAAGTTGGTGAAATAAATCTGCCGTGTAAAAGCGGGTGGGACATCAGAATATTAAGATAACATATACCGGTACCAGATTTATAAAAAAAAATGTGTTTTTAGTGGTTGTTTGATTATTGTCCTGTTCTTTTATTTCAAGCCTAGTTTCTCTGTTTCTTTTAAATAGCTTTAATGAAGTCCTTTTTTTATTTACTTGAAAATTTAACATTATTTATCACATATTGCAGCTTTAAAATAATAATTTTTAATTTATTTATTATCAGTTTAAAAGTTTCTTTAATTTTTTTTTATGCAGATCATCAGATAAGTTGATCCTGCATAAAGAAAGTCTGACTGACAATGGCTTCACCATCAGTTGGTAATAATATATCCTCTCCTCTTTCTATTATTTTTTTTAAGCATGGCATATTTTAACATGGTAAATATCTAGATATATAAAAAAAAATTTAAACTTGATAAAAGCAAGGAGGGCAACATTGTAACAGGAAATTTGACCTTGGTTTTGTGAAATTCTTGTTGTTTTTTAACTTATGCATCATTTTTCTGGTGAGATAGAATTTGTTGCAATCTTCAGTGAGTTCTTAAGGTGGTGATCAGAGGTTTTAATTCTAATTTTACCCTTCACTTCATCCCTTTCACACATGACAATAGTTTCTCACAAAGAAAAAAGAAGTCCCATGAAAAAGGCTTGATAATGCCATATTTTTTTCTATTTATGAAGATAGGTCTCATAAAATTCCATTCAAGGGTCAAGCACATTTTTTTCAGTTAAAGTTGAATGCTGCACTGCATTTTTCCCATAATGCAAACATAACATACTCTTGTCATTTCTTTTTCTTCTATATCTTAAGGGCCCACAATCAATGTAATTGATCATTCTGGCTCCTATTTATTTGCTAGTATACCAACTTATATATGATTTATCTTGACATTGTTTTCAAATTCAAAACAGTTACAAAATATTGCACCATAATGTTAAAAGGAAATAATTTTGGACCACTGGTTCATTTGGCTTAAATTTATTAATCAGTCAAAATAAGAATGACCTAGTTTCTATAAATAATTAATTACTTAAATTAAAATTTACTAACTCAAATTTTAATTCCTGCAGGTTTGACATCACCAGATATGTCTGACGTTGTTGAGGACGCTACAAGCCCACTTACAATGAATGCTACTGCATTATCTACACCGGTACCTATCACTCAACCACAAAGGGCTGTATCAAATGTTTACACACCTTTACTAACATCCACCAGGTCATCTACCTGTCAGCCACCCTTGCTCTCAGATTCATCATCTAGCAATACATTTAAAATCTCTCAGAACGATTCACAAAAACCTTTAACACTGGGTTTGAAAAAGAACACTGGCAAATCTCCACCAATGATGCAGAATACTCGGGTGCAAAGATCATCAGTAAGGCCATTTTTTTGTTGTGGCAGTGAGCTGTCTCTTGTAAGTTTAGTAGATGGTTTGGAGTTGACGGACTCGTCTTCAAAGGATAAAAAGTTCAATAGTATTGAATGTAACAGTTCATCAGATGAGGATGAATCGGCAGAAAATAGTTTCTCATCCCATAAACTGAAAACCGCACCGAAAGCTCTTGGCGTTGCGTCTAACGTGGAAGGCCGTCCCACTATGATGAGAAGGAAGAAAAAGGACAAACTTGGTGCAAAGAAAAAGTTTTGGGGGTTGCGATTTCACGGACGATGGAACCCTCGCTGGAGAGTTCCTCAGCCCCAGCGTTCATCTAGTCATCGCTGTGAGCTAGCCTACCATGGATCTGGCTGTCAAGGAACCTACCAAACATCTGGCTCGCCTGGATCAGGAAGAAGATCACCCCGTGCTAGGCCAGTCTCTGTCGCAAGTCAACTAATTGACTTGACCTTTGTGGATTTTGACAGATTATATCCAACTGAAGATATTGATGCGATACGAAAAAGAGAGAGAGCAGAGGAGATGGCGACTGGGGTAGAAGTGGATCCTAACATTTTACCCAGGGTTTTTCATCCCAGTTTTGAGATATCCGGACCCATGCTTAGTATGGTACGTCGGCGTCGATTGGCCTCAGGTAACTCGGATATAATAATCTCGTTGCCTGAGTCTCCTGCAGAAGATTACTCGCTCCTGATGAACAACATGGTTTGGCAGTGGCAAGAGCATGTGGGATCACCTGCAGTGTCAGATTCCCCACAGATTCATACACAAGTCGATTTCATACACTGCCTTGTGCCGCATCTAGTCAACATCCTAGCATGTCCTTTCTACTGGGGTGTAATGGATAGATATGAGGCAGAGCGCTTGCTAGACAATAAGCCTGAAGGCACATTCCTTCTCAGAGATAGTGCACAAGAAGACTTCCTTTTCTCTGTCAGCTTCAGGCGTTATAATAGATCATTACATGCCAGGGTAGAGCAGTGGAATCACAGGTTTAGCTTTGATGCTCATGACCCAGCAGTTTTCTCCGCTCCTTCTGTGTGTGAGCTAATGGAGCACTACAAAGATCCCTGCTGCTGTATGTTTTTTGAACCTATGTTGACCCGTCCTCTTGCACGAAACTTTCCATTTTCTTTGCAACATGTTTGTCGTGCAGCTATATGTGACCGTTTAAAATATGATCAAATTCGCACCTTGCCTCTGCCCAACAGCTTAAAGCAATTTCTTCAAGTGTATCATTACAAGCAAAAAGTCAGAGTAAGGGTTTTTGATGGTCCCCAGCCTGTCTTTCCATCAACCAGTTTAGTATTTTAGATTTTTGGATTGTCTTGTTGAGTTCAAGGGCCTAGTGTAAAAGTAAAAGGCCAGATAGATGCTTCATTTTACATGTTCTGTAAATATGTAAACTTAAAATAACTTAAATTATATAGTTTAAAGTACATTTTTGAAAAATAATAATCAATCAGTGTTTAAGAATCATACACATACATGCATGCAGATTTTTAGTAACAATGATGCAACCATTAAAGCTACCGGTACATAAAATATTTACTGTTTAGCTCTCCAGTTCAATCCTTTGCTTTTCATGCTTCTCACTGAGTGTTCTGATTTTTTTGTATACCCTGGTATTATATTATGACTTAAAGTTCATAATAGAAAGAAGGGAGAAATTTTTTTTTAAAGAGTTGAGTTAATGAATTCACATAAATATGGTTATTATTGTTACGGTACCTCCTTTTTCTATATACTATATTATATATAGTATATAAATGTATTTAGTATATAAATGTAGATCTTTATTATTTATGTATATAGGATAATAAAAAGAACTGTTACTTGGTGGTCCAGTTATTGTCCTTGTGGTAAGATACCACATGCTAGTCACTGATCATTTGTAGTTAGTCTATTTCATAAAGAAATAATTAACCTAACATTAAAGTTAAAGTAGCATACCATTTCTTAACACTTGGGTACTGTAAATAGTCTATTTCATAAAGAAATAATTGACCTAACATTAAAGTAGCACACAGTTTCTTAACTGGTACTGTACTCATGGTGTCTAATTATCAAATCTTTTCCTCACTTTTTTTTTGAATCCCATGTTGGAAGGTTGAAATCTTACACAGATTTTAAGGGCAGGTAAAACAATGTTTGCTTTTAAAAGTTTTGTACTATTAATAATACTATAAATACCTTAACTGTGAAAATGTCTAGAGCTCCAGTTTGTATTCATTAGTCTGCTGAAAACATTGTTTAACCTTTGCGAAAATTTCTGATTTCGTGTATTTTAATATAGCTTAGTCTCCTTTATCATGCTTTTGGCATTAGATAGAGAACGATGGCCCTCAGCATGATGGCTCAATTTAAGTCTTCAATAAATCCTAGCCATTTTTTGCATTTACAATGTAAAGTTTCTTAAATATTTGTGTTGTTTGATCATATGAATTTGTATAAAGTTTGATTGAACTAGCTGTACTGGCATTTGCATATGAGTGACCATTTCATAAGAGGAATAACTATTGTTTAGTTTATCTTTGTTTCACTGACATTGAGAACCAAATTGATATTTTTATATTTTACAATATATGTTAAACATTACAACTCCTGCTTCCTATAATACTGCAAGCTATTCACTTCAAAATCTCATCCTAAGCCATGTTCAGTATATTATTAATCTAGTACAAATTACCTATTCTAATATCAAGCTATAACTTTTTTAATTTCTATTTTCTCTACATTTTTGAGATAATAAATGTTCTCCAATTAACATCTGGCAGAATCCAGGTTTTAAAAAAAGGCTGCGACTATTCGTACACGGGTACCAGAAGTGAGAGGTTGGGATTAAAAAACTATTAAAAATATTATTGGTTGGGTAAGACAAATTGAGGTATCAAATGAAAGATAATTGAATGGACTATACGTTTGTAAACTTACTTCTTCAGTTTAACTAAAAAAAAACTACCACAAATGACATCCGAATAGCATTTAGTCAAAATGGTCCCGACACACAGCGCTGCCATTCGCACCCGGGTCCCATTAGACCAGCGGTTCTCAACCTGTGGGTCGCGACCCCTTTAGGGGGTCGCACGACCCTTTCACAGGGGTCGTCTAAGACCATCTGAAAACACACATACTCCACAGGTGTAAAGTATTAATGAAAAAAAATATTGTGGTTGGGGGTCGCCACAACATGAGGAAATGTATTAAAGGGTCGCGGCATTAGAAAGTTTGAGAACCGCTGCATTAGACCAATGCTATTCGGATGTCATTTGTGGTAGTTTGTTTTAGTTAAACTGAAGAAGTAAGTTTACATATAGTCCATTCAATTATCTTTCATTTGATACCTCATTTTGTCTTATAAACCCAACAATATTTTTAATAGTTTTTTAATCCCAACCTCTCACTTCTGGTACCGTGGTATGAATAGCCACTTTGATTTAAAAAATTACATTATCCTAATTAATTAGGTACACATTGTTTGTTCACTTAGGAAAATATGTGTTGTATCAGAGTTTAAACAAATTACATTTGAGCTTTTTACACTATTCCTCTCTTATCTACTGTGAAATAATTAATGTTTTGAAACTGTACACAATTTTTAAATGAAGATTTTAATTTGTCTTTACATAAAAAACAATGTATGCGTGTTCTCCAAAATTCTTAGTTTTTGTAACCCCTTTCTATACATATCTGATATTTTCCAAAAATGTAGACTTGAAGAAAAAAAATTCTTGTATGAAAATAACCTCTTTATTATTTGAATGGTCTTTAATTATGTTTATAAGTGCTTGTTTATAAACAATAAATGCAATCTAAAATACACCTATGAAATTATTTTCGTCATTCTTCCTTTTGAATTCACACAGTATAAAACATTGCTTAAACTTGAATATGAAATCACCTAATGTGTTAGCTTGCATACAATTATACAAGTTTTACTCAAAACTTTCTCTTCAGATTCTAAATAAAAACAAATAGAAGTTAAACATGTAATAAAGTTTATTAAAAATTAAAAGCTCAGTCATATACCTCTTCTGATTCTTCATTAAAATTATCAACAGCAACTGCACTGGGTAACGTAAACACATCTGCAAGCATATGATTTGGAATTTCTGAGCCTCTAACTTTTAAAGTGTAACAGGCAGTCTCCACTTTCTGTAAGCTCTGTCGCAGCACCCTTGTTTTCTGTCGTAGTTCTCTGGGAGGGTTGGCAAATGTTGTGAAAGCATCGTGGATGACTCGCATCATATTTGCAACCTTGAATTATTTTTTTTTTAAATTTGTAAATTGTTCAGGTATAAATAGGTTTATAAATATTTAAAATGCTCTTTAATTATTTATAGGTATTTCATAACATTTGACTTAAATATTAACAAATGAAAACAAAGCATGTACAATATATCCTCTAATCAGATTCTAATTTACCATCATATACATATTTACTGAGTTTAATCTAAAACGACTCCAAAAAGGAAAATTTTTTGCAAGTAACAGATTCTTAATTAGTGTACATAAGATGATTCATAGAATGATAGAAACAAATTTGCTTCCTTACAACTGAGGGTTTTTCCAGATCACCAGCACCTACACTGTTGATTGCCATCCTCATAAGTTCACCTGTAAAGTCAGCCACACCTAACATATACTCAGTTGGTGGAATTGGAACGGATATCTTCCTAGTTTCATTTCCAGAAGCAAGTTCTTCAGGAGCTGAAGCTTTGGTAGATGAAGATACGAATTTTTCTTCAGGTGCCTTTGGAGCTAAATTTTCTTCAGATAGTGCTTTCTGTTGGTCTTTTGTTGTCAAATCAATTATCTGTGTATTCTGAATATTTAGGGAGCTTGATTCAAGAGCTTGCGCAACTGTGATTGTAAAGGTCAAATCTGGTTGTATTTTATCAATGCCAATTAACTTTTCCATTGTCAGATAATGGTAGAATGTTACTCCTTCTATATACTCTTGCAGACCTACAAATAAGAAGCCATCATTTAAATACTTCACTACTCTAAATTGCATAAAAATATCAGATGAATGATAAATATTTATTTGTTTTGTTTAAAACTTAACCAGAAAGGGACTTGTATAAATAAAATTTAATGCATTTAGATTTACATTGCAACACCAAGAGTAATTTTATTTTTACCAATAAACATATCAAGGGTTAGGTTTATGTACCTGGAGAAAAGGCTCTGACAAACTGGAATGGATCCTGACCATCTAACTCTTGTGCTAGCTCAAAAAACTTGGATGCATTTAACTCCTTCAGTTTGAAAGCTGCTTCAGAAAGCAATGTTTCCCTGTCATCTGACCTTTAAAAACATAGTATTATCTGTAACATAGTAAATAACTGGCATCAATGGCAGTGCCACCTGTTCATAAATTAGCTTTTGTTTCACTTGCCAATGTTCTTATATGTATCATTTTTGGTACAGTATTTCTAATTTCATAGCTAATGAAAATCTAGACTATATTTACTACAATTACATGCCTAAATTTAATAAATAAAAAATTAGATACCATACCCAGCAACTCTCTGCAAAAGAAATATAAGTCGCTTGCTTTCAATTGTAATGTCTCTGCTTAATTTGACTATTCGCTCATAACGATCATTTCTGTTGTCAAGTTCTTCTTGAAAAAGCTGAAAAGTTTTCATGATGGGGGAGCTGTCATCTGCTATAGTAAATTTGACTTCATTTTTTTGTCGTTTCCCTGTTGAAATTTAGTCTTAAATTAAGTTAAAGTGTTTATAAATAATTTACTCAAATGTCACTTCTTTTGAACCTTTCCTTGAAACTTTTAAAACTTAGAACACAGGTTCCCAAACTTTAATATTTGGGTCAAAACCCCATTTTATTTAATAGTATAATTTATAGATGCTAATAAATGCACTTCTCAGGTGCTACAGGAAACTCTTAAACATCATTAATAGAGGGTAGGCCAATAGAAATTGAATCTGAAAAGGGAACTGCAAGTCAAAAAAGGTTGAAAACCACTGGGCTTTACTATACTTAAAGGCCAAGTAATGTAAGGCTGTATAATTGTCGTGCATAAGGCTATGGGTATGGCTATAAGTATATACCGTGCCTTTATAATACATATAGACCTAGCCTATAACTATGCTAAATACTGGTACATCATATTTATGCACTACAGACATCTATCTCATATGCCTACATTAATTTTTTTAATAAATTATAGCAATAAATATTTTAATATTAGGCATCAAATATATGTTCATATTATAATTAATCATGTTGCCTAGGCCTATATTACAAAATATTTATATGATTTATATTGATATTCTAACTACTATTACTGTAACTTAATTATAAACTACAACCAATTAAGAGTTAAAGTAAAGTTGTCTGCTTAAGATGGCATTTAGCCAAAATGTCCTAATGTAATTTGTATGTCTTTTTTTCAAGCCCCCACATATCTTTTTTCTACTTTTTATTTACCTATTTACACAGCTTGAATGCAGTTCCTCAAATATTATCCTGAGGCCCACGACAACATCAAGTAACAAAATTGTCAGTCGTTAAAATAGAGTCGTAACAGAGTGTTAACCAGGCCTTAATAATTATTGTAAAATAATATTAAAATTAAATATACAAATAAAATTAGGGATGGGCATCGAATCCTTTTTCAGAAGCTTGGTTCAATAACAGCATAATGTTAGGGTTTGGTTCGGTAACAACTTATTTTTGGGTTGGTAACCACAGAAGTTCAGCGCAGTTTGTCAAATTAAATGTTTAAAATATTGCATTTTTATAAATTTTTATTTATTTATTTATTTATTTAGGCATTTTTATATAGCGCTTATCATAAAGCTCTAAGCGCTTTACAATTATTAAAACATGTAAACTAATTAAATACAAATGAGACACTAGGATAGTAACTAGTATTCTATAGAAACAATGAAAATGGCTATAAAAGAGGACACTTTGACACTTCAGGATTAAACCGAAACAGAAAATTAGGTAGGGCAAGGAGGGTGCATCACAGGTCATAGGCGGACCTAAACAGATGAGTTTTAAGGGACTTTTTGAAAATGGATGAGGTTTCACTATGACGTATATGGAAGGGGAGCTGGTTCCAGAACATGGGCCCATGGAAGCAATTTTTAAATATGGAAATCCATTAAAAGTACTAAAATACATATTTGATATCATTCATTCATAGTGCACAGGAATTTTTATTAGTCATAAATTGCTAAATTTAATATAAAAATTTAGGGAAACAAGAATTTGTAGTACTGGTATTGGGTTAATATTAATATTTTAATTTTATGCTTATAACTTACTTATACTTTACTATAACTTATATTGAAAGGACAATTTCAATTTGAAATGACAAGTCACAAATCAATCCTCTACTAACCCAAAATGCTGGCTGAGAGTTCTCTTGACTCTTCTTACTAATACTAATCTTACACTTACACAATGTCAATGTGTATTTGAATTAGTTTATTTATAATTATAGTTTGAATGATACAAGTAGCTGAAACTAAATGAAAAGAAGTGCTTCAACTTCAAGTGGGCGAGTGGGCTGCAGGGTTTTTCGTTTGTCACTCATTAATTAATGCGGGAGGGGGGGGGGATTTTTAAAAAATCCATTTAGCCATTGGTTTTTATAGCTTTAATTAAAATGTAATTGTAAGCTTTCTGGCGTGAGCAGGGGTGTGTCCTATGGCTATAGCCTATGCCTATAGTTATTAGTATAGTATTTGTAAAAAAAAATAATTAAAAATCGGTTTTAATAGGTTTCCAATAGTTTTAGCAGTAGCTTAGTTTGTTCCTACTCGATGACTGAGTGTGAAGTTAGAATATGTCTTACGTTTTTCTCCGCTGTCCCGTCCACCATGATTATGATCGATATCATCACGGTTCTTTTTAAATCTCTGTCTATTGGAAGCATTTCGCTGATTAAATGCCATGTTTCAAAACAGATTTGCTTGCTTCTGAGTACAATCGTAGTAAGCCTATAGGATAAGTGTGATCCCTATTTTGTTGATTATATGCTTGAATAACTGCTGGACTAAATTAACTGAAATCGAAACCTTTTAGTTTGTTCTGGATTATTATTATTTTATTTTTATTATTTTTATTTTTTTTTGTTGTAATCAGATTTGCCGTGTTTTTAAAACTAACTTGTCCAGGACCTCGTAGTTGTAAACGATCAGTCTTTCGTGATTGTTACCAGTTTGTACCTTTTTTGCTTGATGAAAGTCTAAGTATTAAGTTTCAACCGAAAATTTAATATGCGTTTGTTTATTTTAATTTAGGCTTAAATTTAAATAATTTTAATGTTAAATACATTTTGACGGTATCAACACCCTATATAATAATAGTTTATGAATATGATAACTCAACTCATCGAAAACGCCAAGCTATTTGGACAATTTTTACCCCCATGCCATGTCCCGTCACAATCTGACAGAGATCTTTGTAACATTATACCCCCCCCCCCCCCCCCTTTTTAAGTACGCAAACCTTTCGAACTAACAAATACTTTTAAAATGTAAGCTAAATCACACTTACTTCATTATTAAACTATACAAGTGACATCTTCTGTCAGAATACAATAATTTAATCCGAGGGAGACTTTTCAGGCGTGGGGAGGGGGGTGTCATAAGTGTTTCCGAATAGCGAACCCATCGACAGAGTATGTTTGTAAAATGCAGGATATTTATTGTTTTCAAAATAAGTTTTATAGAACTCTTCCAAACCAACTTGATGGAATTTCTCTTTTTAACTGTTCAAAACAGCACATTGCACAATGTTCCATTTGTAACTTTCTTATAATAAATTCACGTCTACAGCGAATTGCGTTGCAGATGCACAAAAAAGCACATGATGTTTTTTTTTTAAATCATGAAATTGGTTTTCAAATTCGAGGTTTAAGTCAGATATCAAAGAAGAGTAGTTATGCGCCACGTCCTGTGTGACATCTGGTTGTGATGACATTGTAGGAAAGTGAGTAAAGTTTCTTGTCCTTAACTGTTGTTCCCAAATACCAAGTTTCATTTGAAGTGCAGAAATATGATCATACTCATACATCTTATAAATTAATTGATCTTTCCTTTGTAGACGAGTATTAAAGTCATTTAGGTGGCTAATTATATATATCGACCAGAAATACAAAGTCGAAAATGCACTCTTTGTCTTCAAAATCTGTGATACTTATTGACTGGTTTCTAACGATTAATTGTATTTCTTGCTGCAAATCAAACACTCTTTTCAACATTTTGGCACGTGTTAGCCATCTTACTTCTGCATAAAATGTAACGTCCAAAGACTTAAGAAATTCTTGGAACTGACGGTGATTCAACACGTTCTACTCAATGAAGATCACAATTTTGCCGACCACTTCATGAAATGGTCCATTTTGATGGACCACGAACATAAATTCTCCGGATGACTAATGCAATGATAATTTAGCATTGAAGTATTACCGACTTTGGAGACCTCATTTTCCATCAATTTGACTAAACCTTCGTGTTTACAAACCGTTGCTGACAGCACCATCCGTGGTTAGGACTTAACCTTCGTGTTTCCCAAGCATTGCTGGAGCACCATCCGTTGTTAAGCCTGATATGTTGTTAAATTGTAACGAAAAGCGATTCAATGTCGATGTAACTGCCTCTAACAAATCTCGTGATTTAGTAGCTCCTTAAGTGGATGTAGTGCCGCTAAATGCTTCTGTCTTTTTATTATGGACATCAACACCCCCTGATAAAAAAATGGCCAGTTGGGCACTATCTGCCATATCTGTGCTTTCATCCAATGCTAAAATATAAAATCGGATGTTCAACTTTTCAAATTTTCTTCAATATGTTTTCCAATGTCGTCCACACTCCTAGTGAGAAGACATACTTATTTTTTTTAAAAATCCTCTTCTTCTACATCTTAAGGGCCCACGATCAATTTATTGATCATTTTGGCTCCTACGCATATAATCCTTCTTCTTTTCTGGACACAGAATTTCAATGACGCCCACCAAACAGTCTTTAACCATTTGACCATCTGAATATGGCTTCGATTTTTTGCTTGATTTATGTCTAGTGCATCACTAGCGTTTACACGGAATGTTGACTCTGAAGCCGCTCTTTTTGTGCGGAATTATTTTTAAAAGTCATTTACTTGTTCTTGTAGAAATCACACTTTGTACTTATCAATTTTATTTGCATGTTTAGTCTCCTAGTGCCGTTTGATGTTATACTCTTTCAAAACAGAAACATATTATTTGCATATCAAGCAGCATATGGGCTTTGTTTAAATTTCCACTAAAAAAAGTTTATAGTCCACCTGTCTTGAAAACTTCTAAATTTTTTTAAATAGCTCAAAACCAATGAATTTTCCTAAATCATGCACGAGATTACAAATTTCTCTTAGCTATAATTTATAAATATGTGATACGAAAAACTCATGATGTAATTTTTTTTTAGTTACATGTACAATAAAGTTAACATTTATGTTCTTTGGTCGGATGCGGCCCGCGGGACTCGTGTTGGCCACCCCTGGTATAGATACAAACAGTCTTTCTTTTAGACAATTTGGTGCGCAAAACTTGTTGAGTTGTTAAAACCGTCAGCATGTGCAATCCAGTTCTACAAGATGTTTAAATACAACATAAATAATATTGTCAGCAGCAATTCTAGTTTTGTCAATATAACATAAATTGTACTAAAATGATCTCCTAAAGCAAAGGCTACCGTCTTTGTTTCAAAAGACCAAAATCATCAATGACTTGAAAACATGCAATGACCAGCAGCTCACGGAGTCATGAGTCTTCACGTCTATTTCTGACACGTGTTTTTACTCTTTACGTTCCGCTAAAAAGATCATTCGTTTTCAACTGATGTCACCGGAGATGTCAGGACAGGGGATTACTTTCAAGAGCTCGCTAAAACAACGTGGAAGACGGCTCAAGCATGTTAGCATGAAATGTCAAAGGGCAAAGGTCAATACATTAAAAAAAAATGATTTGATAAAAGATCTATAACGCTTGTGGGATATAATTTGACAAGTTCGTTGACTAGATCCAGGCTGGCCCTCTACGGTTCCTGGCTCCACGGCTGGCCCTCTACGGTTCCTGGCTCCACGGCTGGCCCTCTACGGTTCCTGGCTCCAAGGCTGGCCCTACATGGTTCCTGGCTCCAAGGCTGGCCCTCTACGGTTCCTGGCTCCAAGGCTGGCCCTCTACGGTTCCTGGCTCCACGGCTGGCCCTCTACGGTTCCTGGCTCCACGGCTGGCCCGACACGGCTCCTGGCTCCAAGGCTGGCCCGCTACGGCT